CCAGCAGCAGCTCATCCACCTCTGACAGCCACGCGTGGCCTTTCCACAGACGGATCCCCACACACATCCCACACCAGGACAGCTGCCAGCACCCCGCTGGCAGACATGCAGCACAGAGTACCTCCCCAAATATTAAATTATGCCACCTTGGCACAAGCAAATAAAAGCTTTGGACTTTCTATATCTCACAGCTGTTCCTTCCCACTGAAGCCAGTGGCAATTCACTGCTCTTCATTGTGAGAAGCACTGCTGGGAGACTTTTCACAAGAAACACCATTTGGGAGGAACTGCAGTAACTGATTTAGGGGTAATACAGTGCAGGGTAAGGAGCACCCAGCAATAATGATTTGCCATGCTGAATCACAACCTGCTTTTAGGCCATTCAGTGAAATTTCTGGGACTTCTATAGCAGCAGAAATGCATTCTAGATTTCCTATAACTTTAGATTGAACTGGCTAAAAAGCATTCAAGTCTTCAAATTGTGGACAGCAATAATATGAACACAGTGTTCCACAAATTTCAGACACTTTGCAACGGCAGAGAATTGTAACCACAGTTCAGGCCCTTGGGAGGAGGGGGTGTTGTCTAGACACACATCCTTTTCCCACTACGTTCAGACCTGGGACCCAGCACCTTACTTTGCATGGCTTATAAATGCATGCACTGTTCACATGTGGAACCCCTCCTCAAATTCTCAAAAAAGCAATCACACCCTTAATAATGCAAATAAACCATTTTCCAAAAAAATACAGGCAAAAAGTTCTTACCTTCCATGAGGCCAAAGCAGGGTTCCATGGCTCTTCCCCAGGCTCTGATAACATCACCACGCACACACCAGAGGGATCATTCCAGGTGAGGGGGGTGCTGAGGCCATGCACGCTGGCACAGCTTGCTTCCTGGCAGGCGAGGAGCAGAGAAAAAGGTCAGATTTGCTTTTTAAAGCAAAATCATATTTTAGCTATTTGCAGAAGATTTTAAACATTGGAAACGAAACACGAACCCTCGCAGTGGCAGCAGCTGCGTGTTCTCAAGGATAACCATAACCCTGCCTCTGGCTGGAGGCTGAGCTGCCAGCTCACTGGGGCCACAAGGTGTGCTGTCCTTGGCCCTAAGTTCTCTCACTGTTTCAGGAAGTGTCCTAAGATGTGTTGCAAATCTGCAGTTAGGCTTGTGCCAGAACTCCAGAAACAGCAGAAAGAATCAGAGTGAAACCAAGTGCTGGGATGGGAACGCTTAGCAACAGCATTAGGCAGCCACATTAAAGATGAACATTTAGTTGCTTGAAATTATTTAAAATCTACTTCTCTTTTTAATACTTTTGAGTTTTTATTTACAAGGCTGAGAAACACTGGATTTCTAGTGATTTCTATCTCGGGAACATTGCATAAAAATTAACAAGCATGGAAATATCACTTTAAAAGGGGATACAGACGTGAATTCTCTTATCCAAATCAAAAACCCTCCCCAGCAAACACCACGGATACTACAGACACATGCTCAGATGCACCGAGTGAGAACACACTCATTGACAAGATGATGAAATCCTCCTCTGCAAAGGATCCTGGCAGAGCTCCCTGACATCTACGCACTACATTTCACAAGCAGAGAAGTGAGCGAACATTTCATTTTATTTGCATGAATACACTATTTCCAAGATAAAAGATGAATTCAACTGCTGATTAAACGGTGATTTGCAACTTCATATTCTTTATACTGTGCTCTAGGTGGGAGGGCTGGGGGCTGTAGCTCTCAGGAATATTCAGACTCTTGGTTTTTTTCTCACTGGACAATGGTGAATGACATATTTATTCTATAGTCATCCTTTATGATGGGTGCAGTTTCAGCTTATGGTAACTGGATGTCACTTATGAATAAACTCGGCACCTCAGGAAAATATTTAGCAGTTTTCTCAAGTCTCTGGGCTCTCAGTCACATGAAACACCACGGGTCAGTTCAGATTCAACAAAAACAGTCTACCTTTCCTCTTGTGATTGGGGACATAAACCTGTGTTATTCAGCACTTAAAAGCCAGAGACTTTGGAGAAAGAAATTATTTCCATCACCATCTTTTGACTAATGTAGAAAATGCCAGTTGTCCAAAACCAATCCACCCTGTGACTACAGCAATCTCACCAGGACTCTTTGGTTACAGCTGCACCCTGGCCAGGCTTCCCCACCCATTCTGGCTGCAGGATTTGCTGGGCTTCGCTGCCCCATAAGCTGTGGGGTTTCACTCTCCAGGGCCAGCAGGCAAGCACAGGCTCCCACCCTTTCCTAAACATTTGCAGCCCTCAGCATGAACATCCAAAGTCACAAAGAGCCTGGGCTGGAGGTGAGGGTTCTGTTGGCTTCTAGAACTGCTGAGCCCTTAGCAGCCAACGTCTCCACGGCAGCCCAGTGCCCAGTGCCCTCTCCCAGCTCCACACACCAGCATCACCCCTCGCAGCGTGCAGCCCTGAGATCTGTGCTCAGGACCACACCTCACCTGGGACGAACCGACTGAAAGGGAGCTTGACTGACAGAGAAGGCTTTCTTTGGGTCTATTTCTTACCAAAGTCCACATTTGCTGGACTGGCTCAGCACTAGAAATTCATACAACCTATCACGAATTAAGACATTCACTTTAAGCCCTGCATGAGTCAACCATTGTAAAGATACAGTTTTCATCAGGAATATATGATTACAGAGCTGTTCCAGGAGCTCTGCTTATCAGCACAGTATCTGCTTAAACACCTGTACTACAGCTCAGAGAAAGCAGTAAAGATAAAAACTGCTTCAAGACTGTGAAGAGCAGGCGCAGTTATGGTCACACTATTAATACTCAGCTTGGTGATAGTGCACAAGAGTCTTATCAGAGAAGGTAAGTTGCTCACATAACTGCAAGTTCTAACTGAATATTAACTATGTAGGAAATTTTAAAAAATATTCATTGCTAATGTTACATATTTTGTCACTTTACTGTGCTGAATTGAATCTCTACGCTCAACAAAGTCTCTAATGCACTGACGCTCCCCAGATTCTAGCACTTTTGCCATCAGCAAAACGTTGATGTTGAAAATTAGTTACCAAAAAGAGGGTAGTACTGACCTAACTGCGTCGCAGCTTGAAGGCACTCATCCCTCACTTTGCTCCCTGCAGACCTCAGGGACTACAGATGCCACGTGGGAAGCGCCTGGGCAGCCGGCCGCATGCAAAACCTGGATGTCTTCCTGCAAGGTGAGAGCCCACGAGCAGGAGAGCTGTCACAGCTGCCAGGGGTACGGCGAGCCTTTTCTGTGGTCTCAGCTCTTCCTCAGCCACCTGGCCAAAAAGGATTACAGAGGTCATGCAGAATTCTAGCTCTGTATCACTAGAAACCAGAGACCATACCAATAACGTTAGGTGGGTTAGTGTCACTTGCCTGCAATCATTATGTGCAACATCTGAAATTTTCAGCCAACTCTTGCAGCAAAGAAAGCAAAGTTACTGCAGGATTTACTGCAAAGCTGGACTGGATAGAGCTGCCCCTGCCTCATCACAGCAGGGTACCTGCACCCAGCTCCTGGCACCCGAGTGCTGGGGCCGAGGGCACCAGCTCCCACTCAGCATGAGACCACAGGGCAACAGGGACCCCAGACAGGAGGTCGGCCTCTGGCCACTGATCAGGGAGCTGCCCACAGCAGGCTAGGCTGCTGTAAGGTTAGCTGGCGCCAAGGTTGTCCTTGGGAATTAACATTGCAACACTTGAGCATTGGGTTGTCCAACATACAGAATAACAACAGAAATAAGAACAGAGAACCTGCTTGAATTCTCCTCACTGTAACACTAACACCAAGCCGTCTGTGCAGATTCCCTACAGCAGCGCATCCCTCACAGCTAACTGCTGGCTCGAACCTCTCGTGGGAGGAACTTCATCCAAACTAAGAGAAACCTTTACTAACATTTACCTCTTATCTTTTTCCAGCCCCTGGGATAGCTGAAACCAGAGGGACATTAAGCAGAAACCATAAAGTCACATTTCTGAAATGCTTTAGTCATCAAAGCTCTGTGCAAGTAAATCTGCTGCAGCTGGAGAAGATGCACGGAGATCTGACAGAGAGGGTAGCAGAGGGCTGCACTGTGGAGAGCCTGCAGGTCGTCCCCAGCACAGCTGGGGGAACCAACCACACCTGTGTGTTACGGACATCCACGAGAAGGCAGTTCCATAGAAGATTTATTTTCAGAAGCAAAGGTAAAAAGTTCAGTGTAACAAATGTCTGTTTAAGTATATGAAAGGATAGCAGTCTTCAATTTCATATAGTTCATACGATAGTGGTTATTAAAAAAATTATTTGTACCTTCTCAAACAAAGAAATGGAAACTAAGGAGAGAGTAATGGCGCAGAGTTAACAGTACTGAAAGGTTCATGTTGGGAACAATTCCACTCTGCTGTTCTCCCTTCTTTTGGAAGAGACAGGAGATTCTGGCAAATATAGTTTCCAGTATTAACACAGAAGGAAAATTCTGCACACTGGGAAATGGCACATGGCAGAACGCCCCGTGGCTCTGGTACAGCAAACTGCCAGTGCTGCATCACCTTCTGTCAGCTGCTTCAGGTTCTTCAGTTCAAACAAATCTCTAGCTTCACTATTTGTCATTTCCAGTCTTTCTGGCAGTGATTTCGAATCACACCGTAACAGCAACACCCCTCAAGCAGAAAGTGTTTTCCAATGGCTCATCTACCCCACGTGTGCACCCAGAGCAGCAGACCTCCCCAGGTAGGTGCCAGCTCTCCCTGCTGAGCCACAAAAGCAGTGTAATGGTAGGTGTAAGGATGGGAGGGGGTGGTGCCTTTCACACACACAGCTCAGCCTGACTCCTCTCAAGCAGTAATTTCTCTGAATAACTACACTGACCCAATATATCATCCCAGGTCCCTTCTGAGTCCACAGCTGTAATAAGAAATCAATATTTAAGTGCTGACTTTCATTCATGTTCAAGCAAGGGCTCCTAGCTTTCCTTAAAAACCTCACAGGCCTTCAGCAGGAAGTTCCACAGTGCTCTACAGCACTTACATACCAGCTGCTTCTGGGGAGCTCTCAGCAACTGAAAAATAACTGAAATATTTTCAAGTAAAAAGATTCTGAGATTCCAGAGAGATGTACAGCTTCCACTGACAGCCGATAGGAGACCCTGCACTGTTGCTCTGCTCAACCCAATGTACTCAGCCCAGCCTCACCAAAATGAAGATACTGAATGGTCAAAGACTTGCATCATGTCTCAAATATTCTTTTATCTCATTTTAGAGAGAATTCCATCCACAAATGGCAAAGATTTGCTGATCAGACAAAATATAGGTATCATCATGAAAGCGTTCATCGTTTGCATCCTGTTAGCTCCCATGATATGCTACATCATATGTTTCATACATGAAATAAGCCACTTGGTAAGTTTTTGAAGACAACAGCTTCTCACTCAGTCCCATGCGCTGCCTAGCTGAAATACTGCTGCTGAGTTCTGAGGGAGGGAGAACGGTATTTACAGGTGTGGACAGAAGCTGCCTGCTCAGCCCAGTGGGACAAGAAAAACTCTCGCTGTGAGATGTACACGTGTCCTGAAGTCACTGTGCTGTGCTGTGTCCATCTCACAAACCCCTCCATGTGCTGGGACAGTGCTCCTCCTAGAGGAAACACTGCTCCTCCTTCCCAGCAGAGCAGAGTAGCACATTAGCAGCTACCGCTTATGGCTGGCACGTCTTTTTGCTTGCAACAAGCTACTACCCAAATCACAGCTGTCAGTGCGAGGCAATTCTGTAGAAAGCAGCCCAGAACAGCCTTGTGCTGCTGGCCAGGTGCCAGATGTCACCCCAGTGTCACAGGAAGAACAGATTAGGGGACAGAAGAGCATAGGTAAGACTTTGGAAGGAAGCTTACCCTCTCTTTCCAGGCTGTAGGATGAACTATTTTAGCATACAGGTGAGCACATACATGCAAGAAGGAGACACTGAGATCAAAACACTGGGGCTGCTATGCCAATTTACTTCTGTGAAGTCGCATTACTTCGATTCCCAAACATCCCCTAATACTCACCATGGCCTGACCACAGTCTTTTCCTAGCATTGAGAAGCTGGTATTCCCCACCATCTCCTACTCTAACTGATTCTGCTTCTTTCCCAAGTGCTCGTGCCGTGACCGGATCGGCAGCAGATGGAGCAAAAGCAAATGCGTATCTGCAGCCTCCGTGCCAGCGGATCGCCAGTCAGGAACACTCTCAGCCCAGCTACCTGAGAACAGAAAGGAGAAGTCAGCGCTATGTTTTGCCTGACTCTCAGTATCCCTTCCACAGGTATTACCAGCCAGTGCCACTCAAACTTTGAGCAAGGGGTAGCAGGCCTCAGTGCAAGCAAATTTCGAAGTGAAAATGAGCTACTGTGTGGCAAGGAGATAGCCAAATCTGTGCCCAGGGAAGCTGGGTGGGCTCAGCCTTGCTGTCCTGCTGCAGCCGTTGGGAAGGGAAGCCGGTGCTGTCAGCACTGAGAGGATGCATGGGGCCAGCCTGCACTTCACAGTCAGCTCAGGTTGTGGGCATCTAGGCAACAGTGACTGTGTTTGAAGACTTCCTTCCACTTAAAAAAAAACCACCAACCTAAATATCCCTGCAGCCCTGGAAATGAACTCTTAAGGTGCCTTTTCATGAAGAAATGATTTAATCTTATGCTTCCTACCCCATTAAGCAAATTACTGAGGTACAATTGCTATACTCTACTCCCTCCTCACAGTGAAGGAGTCTGTCACCTTCCCCCTCTGCTGCCTCCCGCTGAGGTTGGAGAGCTTAGTCCTGCTGGCAGGCAAGAAACTCTCCAGATACTGCACATACAGAACAAACTGCTCAAGAACACTTAACTTGCAGGAGTTAACAGTAAATAACGAGGGGAGAAATGAAAATCACTTCATTTGTTAAAACTTCTGAGTAGGAAAAGGCAGAAGGAGAGCACATTATTCATTACAAATTATCCACTTAGACCTTCCTGGAGTGTAACAGTGCTGTGAGAAATGTGCTACAGTTGGGAGGTTAGGAAATTAAACTGGGACCCTTAAGAGCCATTTCCCACGAGCCATTGAACAGCCATCAGGTGGTAACACCTTTTGGCCTCTCCTAAACTGAAAACCATTCAAACAGAATTAGGGCAGAAGGCTTTTTATGTCACTGCTACCTTTAGTTCAGTTCAGCCAGGAGATGTCACTCCACTAATTACCGATTTGAAAAACAAAGCACGAGCACTGGTGGAGCTCGCACGGAAGAGGGGTGCTTAGTATTCCTCATGATAGTTTTTCTTCCTTTGCCAGATCCTTACATGAGAAGATCCCAAATTGTTGTTACCCACAAAACCTACTTACGAAATGCAGGCTTTAGAGAAACACCCTTTTACCAACAAAAAATGCATCGTCTTCCTCCTCACCACTTACTGGAAAAAGCAGATTGAACATCAGCAGCTTAAATAACCACAGCTTCAACCGCTGCAGACTGAAACCAGACATGAGAAGCAACATCTACCTGGTTCGGAGCAATCACATCAATTCACTGCAAAATGAGCTGCCGGGAAGACACGCACATGCCAATTCCTTCCATTAACTACCTGGATTCATGTTTTAATTCCCAGATACTAGAAAAACCTGTTGGCATAAGCAATAAATACTTCACTGACATTCCAAACTCTGCCTCCCTCAACTATTTATTTTTTTACGCACTCACTTAGAGCCTGGGAAGAAGGAAAAATAAATCAGTCCCAATGTTTTTTGGTCTTTGCAAACAGCTCAGAGCAGTGAACTCATCCGACAGCAGCACCTCCTCCTCCCCAGCCTTGCAGCAGCAATGTGGATATCACTGCCCGGCTTTAGTCTGAGGCGCTGCACGTTTCATACAGCGCTCATACAGGCTGAATCTCTGCTTTATTCCCCATTTCAATCTCACGCCATCTTCACCTCCCAGATACGAACTGCCAAAGGCTGCATCCGCCTGCCAGAGAACAGCTCTCATCTCCGCTTCCCACGCAAGGGATTAAACACTTCAGAACCCGTATGGCTGAACGGGAGCAACCTGCGGCCTCACAGCGCGTTCCTCCAGCAGCGCCGCCATCAGAACCACCGCCACACGGCTGTGAGGGGACAGCCCGCCGAGCTGCACCCAAAATGGACGGCGGCAGCAGCCGGCTGCTGCACGGGGCCGAGATGACACGGGACCGGCGCCCAGAGGGCGGCAGGCAGAGCCTCGGCTGCGGGAGCAGCGCTGAGGGACGCGCAATCAAACTCGTAACGCGTCCTCGAGCGCCGGTGCCCGGCAGGCACAGCGACCTGCGGCATCGCCCCGAGCTCCGGGCTGCAGGGAGGCCGGGCGGGCCCCCGTGCACCCCCCAGGCCGCGCTCGGCCCTTGCAGTCGCGCGGCCGCGTGCCCTCAGGCAGAGCGGGCCTCGAACCCGCGGCCCGGAGGCGCCCCGCCGCCTCAGGAACCCAAAACGGGAACCCGAGATCGTGGCTCCGCACGCCCCGCCGGGCGCGCGCACTGCCCGCAGCCGAAGGGCGGGGCGGGACGGCACGGGGCCGCGCACGCACAGCGCCTCGGCGCACGCGCACGGCCGTTACGCGGCCGCGCGAGGGCCGTGACGCGCGGGAACTGCCCCGGCGCGAGGTGAGAGGCGGCGGGGCGCGGCCCGGCAGCGGCCAGGGGGAAGTCGGGAGCGTACCACGGCGGGGAGGAGTCGGATCCGGGGCGGGGGAGATGGACAGTGCGGCGGACAGGAAAAGGGAGCGGGCGGGTGGCGGCGCGCTCCCGCCGCTCACCTCGCGGCCTCGCAAGGGGGCGGGGCTTCGGGAGGGGGCGGGGGCTCGGGAGTGGGCGGGGAGGGCGCCGCCTTGCGGTGAGGGGAGGACGGTCCTCCAGCTGTGGCCCCGTGTGGGACCCCACTGAGCGCCGCCCGTCGGACTCAATAGGAAAGCGCCCGAATCTGCCCGACGCAAACACGGCCCCAAGGTTCCCGGTGCCGCCATCGCTTCTGTCACTGTCTACTGGGGCCCTAGGGGTGTGTCCCCATCACTTCGCACCTCTCTCAGAATCACACAATCATTCAGTTCCAAAAGACCTCCAAGGTCCCCCACCCATCCCTCTGTGCCTTCTGACCGCATCCCTCAGCTCCACATCCCTGCACGGATCTGGAACACCTGGCGGGTCGGTGACCCCCAGCTCCCTGTGCCACAACACCTGGCTGCTTCTTTAAAGAAATGATTCCTCAGACCCAACCGGACCTTTCCGGCACCACGAGAGGCTGACCCCACCTCTGTCCCTGTGACAGGCTGCTCACAGCTGCTGTCTGCTCAGAATGCTGTGAGGATTTCAGCCCAGAACACGGCTTTGGACGCAGTGCGTTTGGGGCAGCACGAGTTTCAGGGAGCAGCGCAGGATGGAGCGCCTGGCCTCCTTCGGCAGTGAGTACCGCAGGGCTGGGAGGTGTTTGAGCTGGGGAGGGAGACAGCAGCAGAGACATCTGATCCCTCAAACCCTCAGCTGCATGAGGACTGCAGTGATTGCTGGCAGTTCAGACCTTGCTTCTGTCCTCTTTTTACTACTTAAATTGCAGTTTAGAAAAAATAATGGCTTAAGACAGTATTTTGACTGTTTTGCAGTGAACTCGCAGAGCAGTGTCTCACTCCTCATTCAGCAGCCCGGGGTTTGGACAGGTTACAGAGCAATCAGGCCAATGCCTTTGCAACCACAGCAACGTGCTTTTTGAATCAGACGAGGAGGATGGATGGGAGAGTGCTGCTGTCTGTGCAATATTCTCCATAAAGCCTTGGGTCTCTGGGCACTGAGTCAAGTCAGCCAGCTCACAAAGCTGCCACCCCTGTTGAGCAGCACCAGACGGCTGCTGCAGAGCTGTTCCTTGACTCCAGCATGATCGCACAACTTGCCCTCTGTACCAGGTCCACAGCAAAGCTTTAATGCCAATAGCTGTCTTAATATTCCAGCTCAGGAAGGAACTTGTATCAATAGGGAAGAAGTTGCATACAGCTGAGTTCATTTTAAATTGCTGGACACCCAAAGTGAATTTGGATGATCGCAAAAGCAGCACCACGTTTGTGTTGCATGAGATTTACTTCTGGCTTTGCAGATGACCCCTTCGATAAACCTCCATGCAGAGGTTGCTCTTCGTACCTCACCGAGCCCTACGTGAAGTGTGCAGAGTGTGGGCCTCCTCCCTTCCTCCTGTGCTTGCAGGTGAGTGCAAGGATGAAAGCAAAGACATTCATTTGTCTGAGAAAGTCATCAAAGGCCGCCCGGTGCCAGGCTGCTCCATAAACACATTAATAACGGGTCTCTGCAAACTCATATCAACACACTTATTTGCTCAGGGACAGGGAAATGGCAAAGAAAATGTGGGAGGCTGAAGAACTGAGACACGAGCAGCTGAATGAGACCTGGGTGAAGGCAGCCAGAGCTTGCTAAAGACGTGCAGTCGGCCTGACTGTAACACAGCATGCCCCTGCACGTCTGGAGAGGCATTGTTTCTGTCACTTTTATGGCACAGAAAAGAAAATCCATCAAGAAACACCCTCTCCCTGTCCTCACACCTTTTTTTCCTTTTTTTTTTTTTTTTTACCTCCCATATGGCAAAGAAAATCAGCAGGAAATTTGCCAAATAGACAATAATTCTGACCAGATTAAAGTTATTTACAAATTGTGTTTGTGATCAGATCACTGCAGAAAGGATCGTTAGTTTTAATTATTTATGACTAAAAAACAGCAATGACTTCTAATACTGAAAAGGGAGCTTTCTCAAAGCTCCAAAAGGAAACCACTCTTTCAATACTTGCAGAATGCTCAGAATTCCAGGAATGACACATAACATGGCACCAAGCTTCTTTCACCTGCCCAACTTGGCTATAAATACCTAACAGAAAGCGTGGAGGTGCACACGAGTTACATCTTAGTGTAAAAGACCAGAATACTGCACAGCTTCAAAGTTATAACACAAATTGTTATAACTGCTGTTACATATTTTTTCTAAAATGAAATCAGAAAAAATAAATATGATTTTCAGCATATCAGGTGGTCAGTTTTTATCAAGGTGGGTAAGCGATGGTCAGAGAATAAAGGGAAAAAAGAAGCCAGTCACAATGTTTTCAGTGCAGAAGAGAGTAACATAATGCTCCTCTTTTCTCTGCAGTGTTTCACACGAGGATTTGAATACAAGAAACACCAAAGTGATCACACTTACGAGATAATGGTAAATATTCCTTTTGGGTTACACCTACTCAATCCCGAGCTCTCATATTTCCCAGACCTTGCTTAATAACAGCACATAAAACAGTAACTGGCACAGTTCTTGGATTCATAAGTTTAGACTATTAAATAAACGAAAAACTCTTCCTTGTGAGGAAAGAAAAATGTCCATCCACATAATGGAATAGTGGAGATGCTTCTGTTACGTTTTTCCTTCTGCCTGGATAGCACAGTGCATCTCCTAGACTTTCCAATTCTTTAACCATGTCAATTAATTTCAGTTTCTCAGTTGTTGTCCTCCCCAGAAATGAATTGCTTAAAAAGTTTTTGGCAATTGTTACTGTTTCGTGGCATAACGTTAAATTACAAGTGGCTGAGAGCACGTGTGGCAGCATACTGAGATCTGTAGTGACAAACTGGTATTTACTGCAATTGATGGACCAGTGACTTCAGTAATCTGACAATTATCAGGATTCATGACACAGAACTGAAACACAGCCAGTACTTTGTGCTGCGTCGCCCTGTAGCCTGCAGCTTCTTCTTTTCTTCGTATGGTGGATAACTGAGAATCACAGCAGTTTGATCTGCTGCTTTTTTTTTTCCTCCAGACTTCAGATTTCCCTGTCTTGGATCCTAACTGGACAGCTCAAGAGGAAATGGCACTGCTGGAGGCTGTGATGGACTGCGGATTTGGAAACTGGTGAGCATGTGGGGGCTCAGCCTCCGTCAGTGAATGATGGGGAGATCTCTTGTTTCACTGGATCTTACTGTTGAATGCATCAGTGCACAGTGAATGCTCTGAGTCATCGTGGGTGAGATACCAATTTAGAAGCTAAAGCAGAACATGGATTCTGTTTTCATCTCTTCTATCAGACACACAATTGGTACGGGCCTCTCGTGTGTTTAATGGCACCTCTAGTGAAGGACAGAGCTCCCTCATGTCACACTGAAGCCACCAGGTTTGGAAGAAACTCAACTATTGCATGACATTTTCTTTACCTCAGTTTACTCCTATGTAAAAATCAACTGCAGAGTTTCTCTCATGTGGTTTCAGCTTGCTTACAGTGGCCCAGCCAGGAGTTGTTATGGGTTTCCTGCTTCTGTGTCATGTTTAGAATAGAGCGTTGGAAATATTTAATATTTTCCTGTGTTCTGTTAATTTCTGTAGTTGCTACAGGATTTTTATGCATCTGTAAATAAAGGAGATCTGTGGTGATGTTATCTCTCTTCTCCATGAAAAGATTGCTATGATAAAAAGCACAGAATGCCAAACTATACAGAAAGAGAGCTGTGTGCCCTTATGTAAACCTTACTGTTAACTAAGACTGAAAGCTGGTTGCAGTTGTACCTGCAAGTATTCTGCCTAGTGCACCTTGCCCTCAGCAACACAAGTAATCTTAACATTTTCCTTAAACATTTGGCTTTTTTCAGCCTATTCTGGATAAAGGGAAAAGTGACATTTCTTCCTGGAATCCCTTGCATCCAATTTTTACTGTAACAGAAATTGGAATGATTGCTGCTGGTGTTGTGATATGGTTTTTTTAAGGCTTCAGCTTACACAGCCATTTTACTAAGACAAAACACCAAGTTCCTCCTCTGTCACTGCAGTTCTCTGCACGCAGTGCAGTCAGTTCAAAACGAAATTTACCTCTTCAGAATAGAAAAAAAACCCTCAACATTTCCATGTTCTTTGTATTAAGTTCCCCTCTTTCCCCACTTCAGGCAGGATGTGGCCAACCAGATGTGTACAAAATCCAAGGAGGAGTGTGAGAAACATTACATGAAACACTTCATCAACAACCCCTTGTTTGCATCTACGCTGCTGAACCTGAAGCAGGCTGAGGAGGCGCAGCACAGTGAAACAGCCATTCCCTTCCACCGTGAGTACCTCCACCAGCAGCTCGCTGCCTGCTCTGTGCTCTGCAGGAATGAAGCAGGCAGCCTGTGGGGGAAGGCACGAGCCACACACACACACAGTTGGCTTTCATTCCCAAAAGGAGAGCTGACTTGAACAGAATGGTCTTCTGTGCACTGTATTACATCACGGGGTATCAAATATAGCAGACTGCACATGCAGTGGGAACGGGGAGCAACAGAGTGGTCTGATATCACCATCAGCTGCTGAAAACACAAAGTTTCTGCCCAACTGGTGAAGGTGGTCATTCAGAAATCAGCACAGCAAAAGCCTGGGTGTCCATCATGTTCAACAGACAAACCTCAAAGCTACCTCACGTGGGGCTCAAAATAACAGCACGTGCTCTTGTGAACACCAGTGTGAGCAATCCCCCATCGCTGGGGTGGCTGCTCATCTTGTCCAGACCTCAGGTTTCCACCTCTAGAACATTCTATCTGATGACCCATTTCCTGGCAGCCTGTTGGTTGGTGTAATCTGTCATAAAATCACTCTCTTTGAACAGCGCTGATTTCACAGCTCTCTATTTAAAAGTGTCTTTAAAATGTTTATCTTAAATTTCAGCAATTGGAGGAAAACTGGTGCGTTTTGTGCAATCTAACATCTTTAGAATTCCTCCAGTCTGCCAATGCAAGGCTCTCCAAAATGGCTGGGCAAAAAGACTGCTTGCTATCTGGAAGTTCTGATTTCATGAGAAAGTGCTTAGGAGGAACAGGCCCATTTTGCTTCTATCCCTGGCTGCTGGCATTGAGTTTTATATGACCTGTACCAAGAAAAATTCTGTGAGCTCCAGCTTTCTTTATCTGTAGCATGGGATTTAAAATTCTTAGCTCCTTCACGAGTGTGCTGTGTGCCTCGGTCCATTATTGTCTGTAAATTCCAAGACCCTCAGTTGGGAAGCACTGTAACAATTCAGTTGTCAGGCTTTAATTGCAGTGCTCTGTAAACAGCACCCAGAAGATGGCAGATTGAACAGCCCTGCTGCTATTAACCGAAAGAACCTGTGCACCGAGAGCACGACTGCAGAGGTTTAGGGGGGATGCTGAGTTCTGAAATCTGGAGTTCATGTTTTATAGTCTGTTTATTGCCTCGAATTTCTGTTTGACTTTTGAGAGTACTCTGCAGATCTCAGATTCCTGCCTTTTCCTCTGGATTGACTCAGGCTTTTCCTGACCATAACCCCGCATAAACCCCCAGTCGTTTTTTTCTTCACCTATCCACACTTCTTTTGCACAAAAGTAACACAAGCCAACACACAGAGCAGTTTGCATCAGAAGCAGCCCGTGCCCTACAATGACTGAGCGCCTTTCTTTTCCCAGCTGCTGATGATCCCCCCCCGGCCTACTTTTGACTCCTTGCTCTCCAGAGACATGGCCGGGTACATGCCGGCACGGGCTGACTTTGTCGAGGTAAGAATTCCTCCTCCCATTATTGTGTATTTGCGACTGAGTGCAAGACCAGCAAACACACAGCTGCACAGCCCTGCCTGCAGTGTGCAAGGCAGAAAAGCCACAGGCGGTGCTGGCAGGACGGCTGGTCACAGCGAGGAGCAACAGGGCAGTGCTGGGACGTGGCCACCGCCTGCACCTCTGATGTGAGCAGGGCTGTGAGCTGGCGCTCAGAGGAGCTCGCGTTCTGTGTGCTTCTGTTCCATGTGCCTCAGATGTGGCTGTGTGATCCACAGCCTGCCTGGGCGACCTGCCTCATTTCAGTGCTCTAGCTGTGGGCTCGGCCATAGAGGTGCACGCTGTGCATTGCTTTGTTAAGGCAGCACGGCGACGTGCGTTGCTCCAGATGGAACCTTGTGCAGCCACAAATGAGTAAATGCCTCTGTTGTCTTACATGCCTCTGAGTGCTTACATGTGTCCTGAAACTCGGTACTGACCCTTTAGCACTGGCTAAGTGACAGTTTATTAATTATCTCTGAACAGGAGTTTGACAACTATGCTGAATGGGATTTGAGAGACATTGATTTTGTAGAAGATGATTCAGACATTTTGCATGGTAAGTCTTGTTTTTGTGCACTGCTTGAACAGTATTTCACTGGGTCTTTTTCTCTACAGACCTACTTTAAAGTGAACATTCATTTTTAATGATCTCAGGGGTTTAAACTAACATTTCTATGGTTTTCTGTTTCAAATCTCTTAAAAGCTCTTAATGAATTGATGTACAATTGGTACTTACATATATCATAAAGCACTTTACTCACTACTGAAACGTAATCAGTTGTAAAGTAGAGCATGACCCAAACAGAACAGTGTCTGTCAGTAATTGGCATCTCTGTAGGAGCAACACAAGCGATGCTTGATGTAAGAAGTAAATTATCTGAGCTAGCAATTAGTCTGGAAACGGGCAGCAGTACATCAGTGTTTGAATAAAGACCCACACAACCACTGCAACCAGAAGTGCAGTGCTTTCATAGCACCTCCCTCCATGCCTGAAGGACGCTTTCTACTCATATAATGCTTGTGAGCACTGTAGCAAGGCAGAGCTTTTCTTTGATGCAGAAAGAAGAGGAACACCTTCCCCTCTGCTGCTAGTACCCTTTTCCACTGCTGTATCTCATTTCTTAGAAGATTTGCCACTTATTCTAACTGCTCATTTTTAGGAAATCTGTTACTAAGATAGGATTGAGACTGGAAGCAAGGAGATATGTAGGGTAGGACTGCATGCAACACTTTGGAACAGTTACACTCTTGAAGTGCATGTTTTTCAGTTGTTAGACATGCCTGGAGTCTCAGCACATTCGCTGTACCTTAGGAAGTTCATTAAGAAGAAGAGTCACTGTGCGGGTCCAGCTACCACTGCTGATGTCTGTGAATGCCACTGCCTTAATAATACAAATATCAAGAAGTATTACAATTAAGCTTTAATCCATAGCCAAATAAAGATTACATTTACTTACGAATGTGGGAAAAAGTCTGATATTTAAAAGTTCCATATTTGTGTTTCAGAATTCCCCCTCCCTGTCAGGCAGCGCTCAGCTGAGGCAGACAGATCCTGTTACGTACAGACAGCCTTTCCAAACTTATAAAAATCAGTTTGAGATTTAGCAGTGCACAGAGTTCTAAGGAATGCAATCTCCCTTGGTTCCAAAAAAGTTATGAGAATCATATATCAGTCTCTTTTCCCTTTTAACTTTTATTGAAAGAGGAACTGGCTTGTGGCTGTCACAGATTCATCATGCCCTCTCTCCACTGTTACTTTTTATTACTATTAAAACAGCCTTCCTTCTGTGTCCTGTAGTGAGTTCTGGCAAACTAAAAAAGCAAAACCTTTTCCTAGTTCTGTGCATTAATGGATTGCAATGGTTTACCAACACTTTCTTGTATACCCCTCACACACATTCTTCCTGTTGCTGCACAGGTCAGCCAGGTGAGATGTCTCCTCTCAGCCCCCTCTTAAATCTCCAGTCTGAATGCAAACAATCACCTTTCCTCATCTCTTTGGAGCATCACACAGCTCTGCAGGGCCAGCCCACAGGTCTGCCTGGTGCCCTGCTGTCCCACAGCAGATGCACAGAAGAATGTAAGAAAAGTCCAGCTGATGCTTTTCTTGGCTTATCTGCCAAGTTTTGTACAGCCAGATGTTAGTAATGTTAACCACAGACCATGTTCATACCATTTTGGCCACAGTTCCCATCCTGCATGAACTTAGCAACTGTATGTATTTGTGATTTTCCCCTTAACATCCTGTAGCACTGACTTCCACAATTGAGTTAGGAGTTCCACAATTTCATTACGTGATGCATGAAAAAATACTTCCTTCTGTCGGCCCAATCTTTTGCCTGATAATTTCATTGGGTGTTCTTCAGTCCATTCTTTAGTTGTCTGCAGTATTTAGTATAGAATGTCAGGCATTCGCCTTGTGAAAACTCTGCTCAGAAAACTCAGAGCCTATGGAGCGTGACCGACTGCATTTTCAATCCCTTAGCTCAGAGGCTCTGGCAGCATCCTTCCCACAGCTGTTCCAGATCTGCCTATGGAGAGAGAATGCCTCTAAAAAAGTGAAGTCCCAGGGCCTAGCCAGCTGTTTTTCTCTTACATGAGGCACCTTAGGGAGGGAAATAATTATTTTCTAACAGCAACTTTGGGATCAGATCTTTCCCTTCTCCAGGCTAGCACAAAATGGCTCAAGGTGTGCATCTGAAGGAAGGGACGGGCGACAGGCTGACTGAAGTCCTTGCACTTTCCTGTTAGGGGCAGAGGAGGCTGCAGGCAGCCCTGGGGCTGTGCTCTCACACACCCCTGCCCCAGCCCTCCCTGGCAATGTTCCTGCACAGCACCTCACAGAGATGTCCTTGAAAAGCAGCGCTGTTGCTGCCCTCCACTACAGCTGCTTGAGATAAACTCCTTGCTGGCCAAACAGTAAACTTTTCTGTTTTAAGGTACTGAGTTTTAGCACATTAATCACCCAGAGAAGCCCAGGTAGGGTCTGACAGCATAGATTGCGCTTCAGCTTTGTGAAAAATTCCTCAGTCTGTTTTCCTGCTGTGTGTTGAACCTCACTGAGTCCAAGACTGATTTTTCGGAGTACTTTTATTTTCCATTTGCTGCAGGTGACTCAAGCTAGACCTTGCCACAGAGAGCAGAACAGCTTCTGTGGTTTCTCAAGCCATAGATTGTGCTGCAGGGGCTGGGATGCTCATAAGGCAGGAACATTTGGTGCTTGCATTGAAACAGAATTCCCCCTTCTTCCTTCCCATCACTGCTTATCTTAAAACTATACAAAGTTCTGCATCTCCATTCAGTAATCTCATTGGGTTTTCTTGCCACACTTCCCTGCATCACCCAGCACGTTCTCAGTATTTCAGCCCCTCCAAAAGCACACATGCCAGCAAATACAAGAAAGAAGAATGTTTGATGCGAGATCCTCCTTTGTGAGGAGCACACAAACCTGCACCCCCTGCTCCCACCGCTCCGGCATCGCTGTGCCACATCTTGGTCTCAGAGAGATGGTACAAATTGGATGAAATCCCCCAGATTTCTGTTAGTTTCCCAAACTGTTTGTTTTGCTGCAGCACTCACAGCCCGGTGAGTACATGCAAATAAATACTGCAGTGAAACAAAACCATAATGGACGGATCAAGTGAAACAACGAGTTATAAGTGGAATTCAGCCCAGAGTGCTTGAATATTTCATGAATTACAAGTTTTCATCAGACTGAATCATAAGTCATTTGTTTTTCCCAGGCTCTTTCTCCCTCTCATGTAAATGATTTTTACTTCAAATGCGAGGAAGTAATTGCTGAGGCTGCAAGTTTGGAAGTGTGTTGGGAATAGACTGCAGCTCTGGACGTACAGCAGTGACATTTCATTTCATAACGTACAAGACAGCTGATGTCCTAATATTCCATGATGCTTATTCTCTTAGGTCCTGACACAGTCTGAAGGCCAGTCCTGTGCTTGCTTTGAGCCCTGCTTTCTTCTGCAGGGGGATATCAGGTTGTGGCCATGAGGTTTGCACCACCCGAGGCACAACCTGTTTGATGGCTTTGCATTCCTGCCATTATTTGGCTCCTGCATGCCAAGCAAAGGTTAGCTAGAGTGAAACAAAAGTTTCACTCAGTGTTTGGAAAGGTTGTGCAGACTAAATGAGGCTGCAGAGGAATGAAAAGCAAAGAAACTGTTTTGGATGCTGCCTTGGGAAACCAAAATATTTTGATTTTTTGGAATGCAGAAAGGAGCCTTGAATTTCTGCCTATCACTGGACCCCTCAAGGCTGCTGTGACCATCTCAAAAACTCTTCTTTCCCAAAGCTGGCACTTTGAATGTGATGTCAGCTTGGATTATCTCAAGTTACCAGGACAAACAGCTGCCTCCCCAGTATAATCCAAGGGGAAAAGCAGAAGCAAATCATCTTCATTTGTAAAGCATCTCTTTTTCTCATTTTAATGCAGCATGTAACAGTGTGATAGTCTGAGTTATTCATGCATTCCAGATCTTGTAATAATCAGTTATCTCAGTATGAATGTATTAAAAACAGAAGCCCCTCCAAAAGCACACGTGGCAGCAAATACTCATTTTTCCTATATGCAAAAGCTCTGGTTTTGCCCTTCACCTATTCTCATGTGCTCCCTTTCCCCTCCCAGTGAATCAGAAGTTCTTTCAGAATGTTGTGTGCTCAAGTGAAAGCACTGAAATGCAGCAGTTATTGATGCACAGTTACCTGTGATATTGACAGAGGCTCTCAGTGCAGTTTCTGCACGTGCTTACGAAGCACTGCCCACACAAACCCCACAGGATAACGTGCTGCCTGGGCCTGCATGGGCCTTAAAAATACAGCATTATTTTCCGTCAGCTGGCACCAAAACTTTCAGATATATTTCATTCATGTTTCCGTTCTGGCATTTCCCATTCTCTTCTGCTCATGTTTAAACACGAAGGAAAATTTCCCACCTGTGCTGGTTCTTAAATTAGGGCTTATGAAAATACACAACTTCTCCTGAGCACTCTGCTTTTGCAAAAAGAAGCAAGGACGTTGTACCACCCTCCTACCTTGGTGTGCAATCTTCTGCTCCTGCATTAGCAGCAAATCAGTTTGTATAAATTCAGGAGTTTCTGTGTTAGCAGAGGATCAGCAAGTGGAATGCGATGCTGCCGGCGCTCAGCACTGCCTGCAGCTGCAGCTGTCCCTGCTTGCAAGAAGTGTTGTTACCCCCAGGACTGCACAGATTGATTGCTGCAGGCTCAGGGCTTCCTGCTATTTACACGCAAACACGGATTTTTAAATGGATGCAAAACCACACAACCACACTCCTCTCTTCACTGCGCTGTTCAGTATTGAGCAGGGAGTCCAGTCGATGAAGTGCCGCTGTTGGTTGTGCCCTGTTTGTGTGGCTGTAGAGAGGAGCACATCCCAGCTCCCAGCACGTCCAGCCACGGCTCCCCTTAGCTGAAACTTCACACCTTGTGTCCGCAGCCTGAACCCGCAGTCAGGTTGTAAGCTTACTTCTGGGACCAACCGACCCAGCAGTCAGCCAACCCCAGCCGAGTCATGGCCGAAAATCTGAGCCCTACTTAACAAAATGAGGGAAGTGATGCTGGTCACCTCAGCTTGTAGGGATGCACCTGAAGGGTTTATTGTCCCCATGGTTACAGGAAGGAGAAGCCAAGGATCTCCAAGGGGATCAGTCAGGACTGCGGACTGATTTCCTCCTGAGAAGGAAGTGGTTCCTAACGAGTGGCTTTTTCACAGTGCGCTGAACCCTTCTCTTTGTTCTGCCAGCAGATAGATTCATTTAGAAGTTAACGAGCTAAAATCTCGTAGATGTTTTCAAGAATGGTAGCAAAGGCTACGTTGATTCTTCTCAATGCAGAATTCAGCCTTTCTGTTTTCTGGAGTCCTCTGTGTGTGCTGAGAAGCCTTGCTCAAGGTGAAAGCTGAGGCCCATCCATCTGATAAACTTGCTTTTCGGGAGAAGCGATGTGTGACAGCAGCATGTACAAAGGAACAAAGATGTGCTAATAGTAAAACTCTCCAAGGTTGTGTAAAGGAGAGAAGTTCTCGGGTCTACCCAAGTTCACTCTTAGAAGCAGTAACGTGTGTGAAAAGAGGAACAGAAAGAAAGGCTCTACAGTTAGCATATGCTTCTGGTGGTTTTATGTCCATGTAAAATTACCATGGGATTTTTAAAACATCAAAGTAAGTGACAATTTCAGCCTGCCATGAACATAAAGGCTTGAAAATTAGCATTAATACAGTGATTCGTCACGTATTTTGTAATCCTCTTCTCTGTTTTGCAGCTCTGAAGATTGCAGTTGTAGATATCTACCATTCCAGGTTAAAGGAAAGACAGCGAAGAAAAAAGTGAGTTTTCAAGCAGCAAAGCAGTGACTGTGTTTCTCTGCTTCAGTGCCACGTTTGTCGCCCAGCACTGTCGCAGCACTGGGCAGAACTGATTCCCTGCAGCAGCCTTCCAGACTGCTCCCATGCAGGGAGACCTGCTGCTGGGAGCTTTGCATGGCACGGGTCATTCTGGACATGTAGTTCTCTTTCTGTGCACAGATTTACATCAAACATGTGGCTTTAGCAATGGTACCATGCCAGAAAACATATTAACAGACTGGTACTTCTTAGGACATACGGGCGACAAAGGACATCCACACTCCTTTGCTCTCCTTTAAGTGCACTGAGAACAAATCACTCACTTAAAACCTGCTGTCCAGGACTCCCTGCTGCAGGAAAGTCTTGTTCCCGTTGCATCCACACTGCTACCCCCAGTCCAGTTATATTGAGCAAACTAAGCTTCTGGCATGTTTGCAGAGCTGCAGGTTGAAATACTGCCTGGGAAACTGCTCACACACAGAGCCAGTACTGGGAAGAGGAGAGGAGACAAGTCTCTGTTTTCCTGTTCCTACGTAGTGCTGATGGACCTCACGTGGTTTATTTCCTGCTGTAGGGAAAAACAACCTGTGCCTGGTTGCCAGAACCCTCACTTTCTCCATAGGGCTGCTTACATCAGGATTTCTGATTCCCAGTGGTCCACGAGTTGGTTCTTCATAACACGTAATGAAGATAACTGTACTGCTGACATGAGTTTGAGTCATTAATTCAGTTCATTTGACAGCTTTTTCAAATGACTCAGTCTGTTCATTAAATTCATTTTTATTATAATTTCAAATACTTTCTTCAATATTTAAATTATATCTTGCTGCATTATTGCCTGTTGGAAGCATGAGTAATCTGTAGTATGACTCTTCCTTTCCTTCTCATGATACAGCATGGTGCTGCTGGAGGACAGGTTCAGAGGTGCTAGTTATTGACATTATTATTGACAATATTAATTAAAAATACTTACATGCTATGATTTCCATTATGGTACGTTGTGTTTTACAAAAAGAAAGTGCTATAAAGCTCAGTTACATGACTCACTTTCTGTAATGTTCCCACAACAGAATCAGGAAAATGGCATAAAAACACTGAGGTCACTCAGAAAGTCTTCTCTGCCTAGGAGAGGGCCCTTATTTGTACACACTGAGGAAAGTAGAATGGATTTTATAGAACAAAGTCCAAGCTGACCCACAGGAGCCAGGCCTCACATATCTCCTATCATTTGCAGAAGTCAGATGCTGATCAGGTTGCCAGTCATGACCACACGGCACTGGCAGAAACCTGTGACAAATGCAGTTGTCATGCACTTGTACATATCTTACCTGCCTTCTTACACTGCTCATTTCCCTGTTCCTGTCACAGACATCTCAAAGTTATGTATAACCTAAGCACTGTCTCTGTAAAATCCAAGCAGCCATGGAAAACCACCACCATTCAGTTCCCAGTGGCAACATTTGCCCTTCATCCCTCACCCCTGCTCCATGAGAAGGACATCTGCCTTTCCCTGGAGCTGGAAGTCACGCTCTGTGACACATTCGGTGTCCTTCCAATTTTGGAAAGACAAGTTGTGAGACGCTGTAGATGTGAACTCTGTCTGAAAAAAGAAATTTCCAACCCTTTAAAGCAGCTGTGGCTCCTTTTGTGCTTAGCGCTGTCAGGGTTGGAGTGGTGCACAGCACTTTCCAAAACCTCCCTGATGAAAATCTCACTGCATCACGCTTCTCAGCTCTCCAGCTCAAGGGCCATAGAGATTTCACTTGTTTGGTTTTAGGCCCATCTCACAGTTTAAGTCAAAGTTTCTTGTGAAGCCTCTGTATTTATGTGTGATACACAAGTTAATGCCTCTCATTAATACCATTTTGATCCTTGTTACAGAATTATAAGAGACCACGGCCTAATCAACCTCAGGAAGTTTCAGAGTGAGTATCACACGGAACTGCTTCATGATAAAGTTCAGCGTTGCCATGAAAATACCTCTCTCTCCAACATCACCTCACCAAAACGTGTCACTCTTTCCCCCTTCAGTTTTGGAAAGACGATACCCAAAGGAGGTTCAAGACCTGTACGAAACAATGCGGCGCTTTGCACGGATCCTGGGACCAGTGGAGCACGATAAGTTCATTGAAAGCCACGCACGTAGGTGTTTGGAGGGCTCTAACATCCATGTTCTTCGGTAGGCATAATAAGGGGTTGCATCATCTGCAGCCTTTCCTGAGCGCTGCCGGAGGGCAGGAAGTTGTTCCCCCCTCTGGTCTGACTACCTCAGGAAAACAGCTGTTTGTGTGCTGGTGTATTAGATGGACAACAGATGTTTCTTCCCACTCGTGTGTCCCAGTGCTTTGACTTCTCAGCTGACCAGAGCTGCTCACCTGCTAGATGAAGTGCTTTCTTACCAGAAGCCCACTGCTCATTTACTGATCTGCGTATCACGGAGAAAAGAAAATCTCTAAAACTTGAGTTTGCATTGAGGAATAGGGAGCTGGCAGCAAAGTGCAAATTCTTTGAAAGATACGCGTTGAAACTATTCTGTGTGTGCATAATTACATAGCACAGCTGTCATTACGTTCCCTGCCTTAAAGGGAGAGGCATTGTTCCATCTCCGAATCATCTCGAGTTCGTTATGCATAATCATAGCATGCATTCAGTCAGATTCCAGCACGAGTCATTGAATCCTGCTTAATTCTGTGACTTAAATGGAGAAAATTATTGCTCATTAGAAAGAACAAAGCATTTCAGCAGTTGTGACTGTACTCTGGAGACACTAGTGTTAAATACCACAGCCATGACCCTGCAGATCATGCGTCTGACACGCATGCATTTATCCTCAGCTTCGTGTTGTCACTGCAGTGACAGCCAAACCCTCCAGTTCACCTGTGAGCTGCATGCAGGCACTGAGCATGTCCTCTGAGAAGTTGAGGAAATGAATTTGAGATTGGCAGGCTTGCTCACTGTAAAACTGGGCGATGTCTTGGAGCCAGCTCACAAAAGCTATACACAGTAAATAGTTCTGAGCACAAGAAACAAAGGTATTTAATCTCAGCAATTGCAGAAAAGGAGAATTTTCCACAAGGAAACATTTTGAGAGGTCCAGTTATGAAAACTGTAGTTTAAAGACAGCAGTGGATGCTATAAAGGAGCCAGGATGGAGTCGTTTTTCAGACCTAGTGAAGCTCCTTCCAGAAATGCTCTACTGTTGTTGCTTGCCTTGGCGGGGGTATGGCAAAGAACTGTCAAAGCATGAAGGAAAAATAATTCTCCTGAGCACAGGAATGCTAGAAATTAGCTAACATCTGCCATCAAGGGGTGTAGTGGTGGGGGCAGAGAGTCAGGAGGGCTCACAGGCTCTTGCAGAGAGGCTGGCCCTGCTGCTGTTGTGTACACTTCACAGCTCAGCTGTGCAGGCAAATAAGAACAAGCCATCTTCGCCATCCCCACTGACCCACGTTTCTCTTTTTGGGTTTCCCCTCTGCTTCCCATTGGGATACAACAGTGGAATTTGAGCTGCGAAGGGAAATAAAGCGCCTACAGGAGTACAGAGCAGCAGGAATCACCAATTTCTGCAGTGAGTACCTGATGCATTATTGAGCCGGTTCCCATTCATCAAGGTGTGGAAGGATGAGTTTGCAATATTTAGGATGTGTTGAATAAAAAGGCGTTTTTAAATGTGTTTGCCTGTCACTTTAACTGAGCACAGCTCTGGCGGTGCTTTATGCTCTTAGAGCTGCTCTGAGCCGTCAGCTGGGAGAGCTGCTGCCCAGCACAGCTCTGCTTCACTCAGCGCCCCTCAGAAGCCCCAGAAAAACACACATTGTGGCACAGTGGTCTCTTGTGACAGGCACTGTCACTGTCTACCACAAGTGGGCTGCCTGGACATAAGGCTGCTGCCTCTCCACAGATAAAATGCCTGGCTTTGGATCGTGGCAGCCTCGTTTGTTTGGTTTTGGCCTGAAATTGATGGTGGGGAGGGGCAAGGAGTGGAATCCAATACCTTCTCACGCCAAGTAGTTGTCGTGAGGGAGAATAGCAGAGTCTGGTCCAGAGCTGGAGAACAGTTTCTCCCTTATTCCCCAAAGCAGAACAACAACAGTCTGAACACTTTGACCGAGGCAGCACACGAGGTTGTGGTATCTGTTACCCACAGGTGCGAGGACGTACGACCACCTGAAGAAGACGAGAGACGAGGAGCGCCTGAAGCGCACCATGCTGTCTGAAGTGCTGCAGTACATCCAGGACAGCAGCGCGTGCCAGCAGTGGCTCAGCCGGCAAGCTGACATGTATGGGCGCAGTAAGGCCGTGCTGTGTGCTCCTGTTTGCTCAGATGGAGCTGAAACACTTTTGGGTCTGATAACGAACACGTTCCCAAGCTATTGCAGTAAGAACAGTCCGCACAACTCAGAAGGGTGAAAGGTGGGAATAACAGCAACAGCAACTTGTTGGAGTTCAGGGACAGAAGGGCCTGGTGGGGGCTCAGCATCTCCGTTTTCTGCATTTTATATTTCAGGAGCTTAACTGCCATTAATGAAGGCGTGGAGGGAAATGAGGTCTTTCAGGATATTAATGAGAGCAGAGATGACACTCGGAATGTTTTGTGTGAGTTTAGATGTGGCAGCATTATTAATGTGTCGTCACCTCACACAAGCACTTTGATTTCAGGAGCAAGCTGCAATGCAAGAAGTGCTGCAGGGCTGAGGAGATGATTTGTCATTTCCCCAGCCGGTCTCCACTGAATTTCTCACTGCCCCCCCAGCCCCACACATCTCTTTTTTACAAAAACAGGTTTCAGACATGGTCCTCAGCTGGGGAGTGGTAAATATTTAGAAATCCTGCTGACTTCAGGTTGGGTCCTGGGTTATGCAAGCTGAATTGTATAAGCATTAGAAGCTGGAAGAAAGTCTCAGGGCCAGTATAGACAGCCACACTTACAACAGATGACGGCAATTGAAATTTCCTTTCTTTCCAGTGATTCCGGCCCGACTCCCGCAGCGCCGATCCCTTCCAATTCAGGTACGTTTCAGATGGCGGTAAGGAAACAGGCGTCCGTTGGGAGCACAGCCCAGCCTGCACCCGGAGCACAGCTCCCACACGGCTGCACGAGTGCTGGCCCTGTAGAGAAGCACTGCCTTCCCCGATGCTGCCTCTATCTGAAGCTCGTTCCACATGCAAAACTGACTGCTTTTGCTGAATTTCTGGGTTATTCTGGTTACAGACTGGAAACCCATCTTGAAGCCACATGAACAAGGCAGGAAAGAAAATAATTTTCACATGAGAACAAAAACTATCTTTTAAAGATAAGCTAGTCTGGTATAGTAACATCACAGCAATATGAACTGCTGCTTTGGAGAGAACGCAGCAGCGCAGGCTGGCACCCAGGGTCCCCCAGGTGGGGATGGTGTCCCCTCAGCCGAAGGGCTGCTATGCAGGATGAAGTTAATTGGGAAGTACTTTGTGGCCGGTGAGGGAGAAGACCTCAAGAGAAAATGAACTGTTTTGCTTGTGGAATTCAGATAGCATGCAGTGTTTGCAACCAGTATCTTGTGTTGAACAAAGCCCAAACAAAATACCAAATAGTTGCTAATTAAATGAACATCCTGCATACTGAACGAGGCAGGGATACTGTGGAAAAACTGCCACGTGTCTATAATTAAAGGCTGCCTCATATTGAATATACAAGAGGGCAAATTATTGTTGCTTAACTTTAATTCTAGATTTTGCGATCTTGGCTTTGCAGCCTTAATGTATTATCTTTAATGCAGTTTGTATGCATGTGTCATTTCCTACGTTCTTAGAAATTCAAAACCAAATTGTCCCATACAGCACACTGCTTACAGCCCCCTGCACCCTGGAAATCACCTGCCCTGCACACACGCTGCTCACTGCAGTGCTTTTCCTCCCAGTCTCTGGGCGCTCGGCCCTCAGAGCAGGCGACTGAGCAGAGCTGCCAGCACCATGCTGGGCAGGGCAGGGCCTGCAGCATCTTTGGGAAAGCAGAGCTGCAGATTTCCCAAGATCTCCCACTTTGCCAAACCTGAGAAGGCTGACCTGGGACAGACTTAGCCCTGACAGTGCCAGGCATGCAGCCTGCAGCTCAGGGGCAGAAGACTCCAAACACCAATAAATGTCCTTCGTTCTGCTCCACACCCTGGAACACAGGGGAAAAAACCCTCAAACCTCCTGGCAGTCTGAGCCACACCGGTTGTAGCTCCAGTTGTCAACCTGAGAGCTGTCAGAGCGCCTTGTGGTAGATGCTTCCTTCAGAACCGTTTCTCATCACAAAAATAAACGCACAAACTGCATTTGTTTTGCAACACCTGCATCACATTCAAAGGCATTTAAAGAAAACTGTGCTTCAGGAAGCTGCCAGCTCAGCCCGTGTCAGCAGTAGAAACCCCTGCATCCCACGCTGCAGTGCCATGGGCAGCCCCAGCTCCCAGCCTGCAGCTCTGGGAGGTGCAGCTCAGCCCACCTGACAGCAGCCCTACGCCCACAGATCCTCCCTAACACCGGTGAGGCAGCATTCGCTGCGTAAGAGCCCTCATGCATGCATGCACAGCACTTAACTACATCTGTTGCAAAACCAGACCGTTTGTCAAAATAATGCCCTTTTTACGTTAAGCCCTAAATACCTCTGAGCATGAGCCCTCGGATCATGCAGGGTTAACGTCACAAGGATCGAATCACTGCGGTAACGCCCGGCTCTGCCACTTCCAGGCCGCCCCAATGGTTTGTCAATGTTTCCCTCCCTTGTCCCCGCAGGCAGACGGAGCGCCCCGCCACTGAACCTCACTGGGCTGCCAGGGACGGAGAAACTGAACGAGAAGGAGAAAGAGGTGAGGAAGTGAATGCTGCACAAAGCATGGCGCTCACTGCATGCGTGCACCCGCACCGTCTGCACCAGGTGTGAGGATAATGCAGCAGCTTAGGCCCTGACTGCCTGTTCCAGCTCACAGTGGCCTTCCAGGCGGCTTCTTAATGTCAGTTAGTGCTGTGTGTGTGCTGTGGCAAATTAGCTTATTTAGCAAAGAAAGGTAGAGAGAGCCAAGGTGTCATTACAGGCCATTACAACATCAGAGATGGCATCCTGTCCTCCTCCATCAGGAGACAGGGCTGAGTGCAGGGGTGATTTTCTTGATGAACATCAGTTTTCAGGTCGGCAGAGGATTTCATTAGGGGCTGCCTGGACACCTCGCTGAACCTGAACGGTGTGGTTCATCTCACACCGTGCAGCTCAGAGCCAAGCCTCAGCCCTCAGCCAGCCGTGCTGTGCACAGGGCACGCTCAGGTGCCAGTGAAACATGGGTCTATTCCAGACTGCTCTCTCTGACTGGAGGTGCATTTCCCATCACTGGGATGGCGGCACTGAAAGCCAGTTCAGAGGTTCACTGCAGAACGTGGCACTGCAGGCTGCACCCAGCACACACAGTTGTAGCTCAGACTGCGGTGTGTTTGGGGCACCTGTTTCCTTCTCTGCCAAAACAAAGTTCCTCTGAATTCTGCCATTTCTTACCAATGAGAAACAATCATTAAGCATTTCCTGATTAAAAGGAGGAGACAGCCCACGTGTGCTCTGGACACAGCACCGTGGGGCAGCTGCTGTTGGAGTAGATGGGAGCACCGCAGCAGCGCAGGCACAGCTGGCAGCAGCTCCACGGCACTGCCCAGCACACAACTTCAAATCCCTGCACGGTTTCCACCCTAGATTCCCAGAAGGCTTAATGTGTGCATAGCTGCTTTTGTAGAACGGCATTGAGGACTTTGTGTGCCAGGGATTAACAGGAGATGCCCGCCGCGGCTCTCGCCCAGCAGGCTGAGCTGCTGCCTGCGCGTCTCTTTGGCATGCGTGCATCCCTGGTTCGTGGAGAACAACGCCCACACGGGACACACTCATAGCTACGCTCCTGTGAGCCCGGAGCTCGCTTTCATCCTCCTGCTTTGTTTCTCAGTCAGGAATGTTTTTGAATACAGCAGCCGTGGGCTCCTCCCTGCCCACCTGCGGCTCCTGGCCGCCATCACCGCCTGCCCCCCACCACAAAATACAGCACAGCTGTTCTCAGGAACACGACCGTGGCCTTACTGCCCCAGAACGGATCACGGAACGAGAGCAGGACAAGTGTAGCGCTTATTAACTTCCCCTTTGCCTTCCAGCTCTGTCAGATGGTGAGGTTGGTCCCCGGAGCCTATTTAGAATACAAAGCTGCCTTAGTGAACGAGTGCAACAAACAAGGAGGGCTGCGGCTCGCGCAGGCGAGAGCGCTCATCAAGATCGATGTGAACAAAACAAGGAAAATCTATGACTTCCTCATCAGGGAAGGGTACATCACCAAAGCCTGAGGAGCAACACGGCACTCTGCTTGGAGCAAACGGACACGGAGAAGCTCTGGAGTCACTTTGACAGCACTGAAAGATTTTAACAGTGTGAAATGAAGGACATTTTCTATTGTTTAAAATCTTTTGGACCTTTTTTTTTTTTGTAAAAACAAGTAGGAAAGCTTTGTTAGACGGTATGGATGCTGACATTTTGTCTGGTTTCCTTTTGACTGTGCTGCTCAACTCTGCTGCTGTCAGAATTGCACACCACGTAGCACTGCCAAGAATCCCGCGCCGTATCAGCCGATCTGTAACGCAGATGGCCGCTCCTTTCCACATCTTGTGTAACCAAAGGAATTGCGGCACTTTTATCCTGGCAGTGCAGAGAATGAGGACAGGAGGGCAGCACATGAGAGCCGCACTGACTCAACCTGAGTACAGGCAAAAAACGCAGTGCCCTCCCTCCTCTACTCCTTCCTAAAAGTGTCAGCTTTCAAAGGAGATAGCACATGCCCCAGGCTGCAAAAATGGAGCTCGCAATAGTCCCATCTTTTTAACTTAATTACGATAAAGGATGGGAAAGGACACTGCGGGGAAACTCTGGGCAGTTGTTACGTTAAGTGATACTAGCACGTATTGCAGCACAAGAGTGCTGTGCGAACCTGTGGGCTTCATCTGCTGCCACTTCATTTGCCGTGGTCACATTGGGTAGATTCCTTCAGCTGAAGTCTGTCGTGGCTGCTGCGGCTCCGTGGGAAGGCCATGAGGTGGATGGAAGGCTGTGTGTGACAGCCCCAGCTGCCTCACATCAACAAAAAGCCGCCCCGTTCCCCAGCATTCCCTTCCACCAAGGAGAGGAGAACACTGCACACACCAGGCCATGGACTCTTAGCCCTCCTGGCTGTGATGCCCCGCTATCTCTGCTTCACTCTGCGTCCTCAGGTCTAGGTTCTCACGCTGCAAAGCCCAAGCTATAACTATACCGGTGCATATTTAAGATGTTTGGCTTTAGATTTTTGCTTCCCCTCCAGAAATGTAATTATCCTGTGTACCTGAGGTGTCACTGAATGTGCGGTATGTTGGTCTGCAATAAAATCAAGTTGATCTGAAACAATCTTAGATGGTATTCTGGGCTCCAAGTGAGACAAAGCTGCTTCTGCTCCATCCAGCTCTCCGGTGCTGTGAGAGGGGAGAGCTGCATCCCTTTGGATGGCAGGGAGCTAGAAAACAGTTCTCTTTCCCAGGGAAAGTAGGAAAGGTGAGGCAACGGGAAACGGGGCAGGGAAGTTTCCCTCACACAGCATCAAAGCAGAAAAACAACAGGTTTTTCTCCTCTTGCAGGGCACCACGCAGGCAGGCTCCCAGCCTGTGCCACACTCAGCACCTCCTCAATCCTGTTATTTCCAGGCTCCAGCACAACACTCCTGTGCTGCAGGACAAAGGGCAGGGAGCCGTGCTGAGAAAACGCTGTGGGGTCACAAACCTCTGTCCACAGAGGGCACACAGCACCATGGCACGGCCGGCCCACGCTGCAGCCTGCGGTCAGGTGAGCAGCAGTCACACCACGATCCCTCGTAACACCAGCGGGAGGCTGACCAAACAGCAGCAGGAGGCAGGGTGGGACTTCCCCCCCCAGGAGCTTTCAAATCTCTTCCAATGCAATATAACACAACGAGCAGACAAGTACATGGCACCCTCCTCTGCCATTCTGCAGAGAGGAGGCAGCGCTCAGCCAAACCGCATCCCCTGCTGCGCTCAGCCACTTCCAGGGAGGGGGACATGGGGACAAAAGCCACCCCGAGCTGCCAGCCACCCTGCTGCTGTGCCAGAACCTCCTTCGCATCCCAGCTCCTCTCCTGCTCCACAAAATGTCTCCGTGCCACCCAGCCCAGCCTCCAGGAGCTCACAGCAGCAGCAGTGGCATTGGAGGGGCTATGAAATGGGGATCTATCTTTATCAGCGCCGGGAAGCACCGTGTGCAGCTCTGGCACTGTTCAAGTAATTAACAATAATGAAAAGTTCACGTTGCCATGGATATGGTGTTCTATTTACAACACGCATCTCTCCCTGTCACCCAGACCCGCGCAGCAACCAAAGGAAATCAGAGCCCCATTCACAGCCCTGGTGCGGGGCTTTATTTATAACCAGCACTGCTGCAGCATCACGGCCTCACCGCTGCCTTTCCTCACCAAGACCCCCAGCTCCCCAGCCAGCAGCTGCCCATAAAGAAAGACCCAGAAAGAGGCTTTTCAGACACCTCTTGCTAACTGCTCACATGGGTTTTTTTCAAACCATGCAGTCCCCATGCACTGCTTTTGAGAACTTTGCTGCTAATGGGCCTCATTCCTTACTGCAGGGCAGGGCAATATAAAGACAGAAGCAAAGGAGCAGAGGGTGCCCATGTTTGTTTGCACATGGGTCTTGCTCGCACGGCGCTCCAGGAATGCCAGCCCTGCTCAGCACACTGAGGGCACACTGCTAAGAATCGCAGTTGGCTTAATTAAGGACTCAGGTGTACATGAAAGATTAAATACGGAACAAGGCCGGGGAGGGATGGAAGGCAGCCAGTTTGGACTAATGTGCCTATCTGGGTACCTGCAGCATTAATTACACCTGAGCTCAGGAGATAGGGAGAGGCTGCAGCTGCTCCATCCCATCACATTCCTGGTCTTCTGCAACGGCCATCACACGAGGCGTGTGATCTTTGGGGCTGTTATCTGCCTGCCACTAACAGCATTGCTGCTTCTGTCTGATTGCAGCTCTGAGCGCTGCAGTCACGCAGCGGCGATGCACTCGGCCTCTTGGTGATGCAGGGCCAGGAGTTCAGGGCTGCACACAGTGGGTCCCCTGGGCTGGCACAGCCCCAGCACAGCACTGGGCTCCTGCGGTGCTGCCAGGCTGCAGCGGAGCAGGTGATGCCGATAGCAAAGTGACAAGAAGTGCAGCTTTAGCACCTGCTCAGGTTCCCATCAGGTGGGGCCCGTGAAACCTAAACCTCCTGGACACAAACATCACTGCTCTGGAGCAGCAGCATTTCAGCGACAGCTAAAGGAAAACTGCAACTGTCCACCTGGCTTCTTTGAAATAAAAAAACTCACTTGGAGATGCCCCATAGAAATTTCCTCTGCTATTCCAACAAACAGATTCAGCAACCTTCCAGGGAAAAACAGCATGGATCTGCCAACATGGAGAAAGCGCACACTGCGACCAGAGCTCACACCACACATCCCCAGCACAACTCAGCACACCACTGCAGCACTGGGTGCAGCAGTGCAGGAACCCAACAAGCACTGGATGGAGGAGGAAAGGGCACAATAAACATGGATGTGGAGTCAGTCATCAGCGGTGGCACAACGTTCTGCACTTTTACCACTCGAGAGCCATTAGGAAACACCTGCTCTGCCACAGGATTCCCACTGGCCCTGAACACGGATCACCTTTTGCACCACAGAAACCAATCCGGCATCCCTTGAGCTTTCTATGAATTGCTTCTATCTCATTTCTTCCTTTTTTTTTTTTTTCCCCCTGAGCAGGAGGTGCCTGCAGTGAGGCAGTGACCTGGCACAGCTGTCCCAGACTGAGATGGGATGGGATGGAGCCACAGTGGGAGAGGTGCAAGGGAGCAATGAGCACCTTTAGAGGCTGAGCAGCCAGGCCAGGCCACGTCAGCCCATCAGCCCTCACTTGCCCTCAGTTGCAGCACACAGCGCTGGGGCGCAAAGCATTGCCTGCCAGCTGGGCCAAAGGCAGGCAGATTGTGGCTGCACGGCCCCGTAACTCAGTGGGCAGACACCTGGACGGAGCTCACCCCACCCTCTGCTGAGGGGACCCCAGTGCCCCTGCACCTCACTTCTTGCCAGCACGCAGCCTGCACCACGGGCCCTGCAGTTCCCATTCTCTGCTTCCACATCCAGCAAGAAACCCATCAACTCAACAAACAGCAGAGCTGTTTCCCATGACCCTACAGAGCCCACCAACACCCCCGGAAGGGAGAACTGGACCTGGCCAACGGGCAGGGATGCAGAGTGTGAGTTTGGCCCCGTGCTGACTCAGCCCTGGCACACAGCCGGGCGCAAACACGCACCTGGGCTGCAGAAGCTCTTCCCACTCCACTCACCAGCCCCATGAATCACAGCACCCCGTGCACTCAGATCAATCAGGTGCCCGGTGCCAGGGTGGCACTGCAGCCACCACAGGATGCAGGGACACGGCAGCAGAGATGTCCCCCTGCCAGGACACGGAGGACCCACCCTGTGCATTGGATACGTGGCGCTCTGCTCCCTGTGTCGCTTGAAAGCGAGCAAAACTACTGCTGTGCCCTGACATCCGCCTGCCTCCCCAGAGAGGCCTCTGGTGACCTATATTTGGCCGCTTAAATCATAAGCAGTGACCTCAATCTCAGGTCTTGTTTACCCCCATTAACAAGCAGTGGCCTGAATGCCTGCTCAGGGTTCCCTCTGCTCCGTGCCGTCACCTCGCATCTAATGAGAGACAGCCGGCAGCTCCTGGGCCAGAATCACCCACAGGAGAGCTCTCGCTGCCTCCCCACACATTCCTGCTGGTGTCACTCACAAACTGGGGGGCACAGAGGGGAAAGCAGCCCCCCAGAACCACACCACAGCCTCACAGACCCCGTGGTGCCTCTCGGTGAGCACATTTGCTAGGAGAATGCTGTGCCACGTGCTTTAACCACCCCGCGATGGGGAGGCTGTGTGGACAACACGGAGGGCCCAGCATCCCCAGGCTGCTCGCGTCACGCGGGGTCCCTGCCGCCCTTCCAGGGAAGGGTAAACTCCCACGTAACCATGGAAACTGGGGAGGATGGCTGGCAGCAGGGCCGGATTCCTGCTCGCATGGCGCTGGGTCCGGTGCGGAAACCTCAGCCGGCACGCGTGGCCACCACTGATCACAGGGCACAGCAGGAAAACACCCCAGTGATTAAGCTAATAGCCCTAATGACCAGCTGATGAACCGAGGGCCGGACGCACCCTTTGGGAACGCGCCCAGCACCGCACAGCGCTCAGCCCAGCATGCCGGGCACGGCCACACTGCACCCAGCTGTGCTCAGGGCCCCTTCACAGCACAGGACGCGAATCACATCCCAACAGTTCTCATCTCTCTTCCAAGAGAAGAGCCCTGTGCTTAGTCCTGGGGGGTGCTTCCTTTGCTGTGCCCTTGGGTCAAAGGTGCCCTCTTTGCCTGCCCCGACCCACGCCGAAAGCACACCGAGCTGCAGCAGGCTGTGCTAAAGCCATCCACCCAGCTACGACACAGCAGCTCTGCTCAGGAACGCGCTTCACAGTGCTCGGAGGAGCACTACAGGTGGCTGCCACCCCAAAACCATCTCCGAAGGTGATGCCCCGATCCTGAGGACCCGATGTGCCCTCTGGAGGACTGTGCCACAGGGAGAAGCCTCACACCTGGCTGCAGGCCCCTCACTGAGCATCGGCCCCGGGTCCATCCCAGCCCACAGAGCTGCTGCTCAGAGCGAGCAGAGGGAGAACAGAGCACATCTGACGTACAAAGGAGGCAAAGCAAAGCCTCCAGCTCACAGAGCTGAAATCCTCACATCTTCATTTTTTGGCCTTTTGAGAGCTTTTTTTATTGTCTATTTTGTTGGGGGTTTTTTTTATTTGTCTATTTTTGTTCCTCGCCCACCTCCGCACTGAATGTGCTGAGCTCCTGGGCTGGAGAGGCAGCGTTTTAAGGGAGAACACTGGTGACACAAAGCAGAGAGCTCTCGGAAAAAACAGCCTCTGGAGCAATAAACAGATTTGGTGCTGAGGGCTGTGAGGGATGGCTCCATCTGGGCTGCTGAGTCACAGAACCTACTGAAGTGAGATAAAAGCCAGAGGGCTGGAGGTAAGGGAAGCTTCCTATTAGGGATTTTTGCTATTTTGGTCCAAACACACGACGACGACAGCAGGAAGCAGAACAGGGCCAGGGCGGCGGTGCTTCGGCGGCCGCCGCTCCGCTCCGGCAGCCGGGGGGTTAAAACGCAGGCTGCCGCCGCCTCCTCCTCCGCCTGCCAGGCCCCGCTCGGCTCCCAGCCCCGCCGCCCCCGGCAGCCCACCCCGCCGGGAGGGCGGCGGGCCCGGCAGCGCTCCCGGA